GTTGGGTCTTCACCTTCAGAAAGAAGCTTTTAATAGCTGACAGCCCATTTGCTCACTTCTTGTCATTGCAGTACTATTTTGTACTTTTAAGGTTTTTTGTGGACGTAAATGAAAAGGAAAGGAAATTAAACTGCTGTAGTCCCACTCCTATGTGCTGGAAATGGGCAATGTTCAGCAATCCAACTATGCAGGAAAAGCTGGGACAGGATCCACAGTCCTGCCAGATCGTAGTTGAAGCTCCTGGTTTCAGTTTTGTACACTTAATGGGTTTAGCTGAAGTTATCTGAAAAGTGGCCTGTGTCACAGGCCAATCTTAGAAGTATTGACTAACAGCCATTGTTTGGGCTTAACAAATGTTTTTATTTCTTTACCCTCTTTTCCCCTCTTCAAATTTCTTTATTCTCAATTTTTCTCCCCCTAACAGTGTATCTACCTCCACTGCTGTGACTGAAGCTTGTATCTATGCTCAAAGTACCTTGAATTTGCGAATTTGCTGTATCTCAAAGGGAAAACCTAGCTCAGGGGATGGGTAGAACACTTGGCAAGCTACACAGCTGTTGGTAGCTAAGTTAGTGACTTTAAGGCCTGAGACTCTTAGGTCTCTTTGCACTCATACACTGTGCTGCCACTGTAACTGCAGCAGTATCTCACAGCAACTGGCATTCATGCTTGGGTTTTAGTTAGTTTTCTATTAGTATTTCCAAAGGCTTTACCATGAAGGGGTAAATCCTGTTGGAGAAAGCCCCATACAATAAATAGTGCTGGTATTATCTGTGAATCACTGGGCTGTAAGTGAATAAGGGACGTTCAATCATGTATACATATACATATAATCATCATAGAATCATAGAATAGTTTGGCTTGGAAGGGACCTTAATGATCATCTAGTTCCAACCCCCTTGCCATGGGCAGGGATACCTTCCACTAGATCATATTCTTCAGTATGTAATGTATATACTACATGTATATGTGTAAATACACACACATATATATGATCCATACATGTATTTGACTATATCCCAGGTCCATGTAAGGTGATAACCAGTCTCGCACACTCTTTCCCTCCAGATAACCTGGCCTTCACATAAACAAAGAGCTGATGCAGGAGGCAAACAAGAGTGAGAGCTGTCTCCAAGAGGCAATCAAGAATCAGCCATTGTATCTTTTTTTCTTCAAATTAAGTTTTAGAAGTCTGTTCATAATCAATTTATTCACAGAACTGTCTGTTTCCTCACTCAGATTCCAGTCATCTGTGGTACAATTAAATGCATGAAATAAGAGAGTTTTCCCTGGACAATGCTAAATTATTGTCTGCTGGAAAGGAAAGTTGTTTTGAAGAAATTCGTGATAAAGGCAAGGCTGTTGATCTGCATAGGCAGAAAGACATATCATGCCAAGTTTCATTTATGTATGTTTTTATTTTTTCACTGTTTTGTCAAGCACCCTGCAGCACAGTTCAGTGATAGCGGGTAGTGTTTGAACGAGTGGGTAAAGGATGTCAAGCTGAGTACAAAAATGAAAGCATTGGCCTTCGCTATGGAAGGTCTGGTTGATTTAAAAGCTAATTCAATGATACAAGCCTTCACTCAGCTGGTTTGTTCAAAGTATGCAAGCCGACTTTTTTCTCTTTTTCTCTTTTTTTGTCCTTTCTTTTGAATGTGTGGTGCAGGCCTCAGGCATCTGTTCACAGGCTTTCTCTTTCTTGCCATGGAGAAAAAGCTTCTCACCTGTCTGAAAGATGGAGTTAGGACACCACACCACTTTAATTAGTTGTGAAAGAGTTTTCTTGCTTTTTTTGGTTCTGGGCATGCCTTTTTTTGTGTCTCTCATGCCCCCTAAACCTCCCTCAGCTACATTACCTCAGGACACTCACAGCCTGCTACAGCAAGTTGTGAGATGCTCAGTGTTTGTCTCCGATCAGTGCTGGTCCTCTGTGAGCCAAGTGCTGTGCTGAGAGGATGGGGTGGGCATGAGGCAGGGACAGAAATTCTGGCTGCTTGAGGATAAAGCTAATCAGCTCCTCCTTGATCTTGTTTCCAGCCCACTGGCCTGCAGAATGACAGTCTGGAGGTCACTTGCTAGTCTAGACCTCCAGCTGGGCTCCTGATGACACCTAGTTGAGAGCTGGGGCTGTCTTATCCTTTTATAATTGGATCAGTCTTCTGGCTTGTCTGGACAATGGAGAAGTTCTGTAACATTTGCATGTATATTCCAGTACTGTATGGACTTGACTTGTCACAACTGAAGTGACTCAGTCATGTAAGAAAAAAGGAAAATAATAAATCCTTCAGATCCTGCAGGATAAAAATGACCTTCTTGAATCAATCTTCATCTGACAGTAGTGTAATTATGGATTATTTACCAAAATTCAGTCTTATATTCGCAACACAAAAATTGCAAAGGTGCCTGGCACTAGTAAATTAGATAACAAGGAGGGTGATTTGTCATTATTACACATCATTAGTTCTTTTCATGTTTAAACTTGCCCTTTCCAAAGACAGACTTCTTTTGGGTGTCTGGAAGATACAATATGCTTCATTCATGATCCAGCTGGTATGTTAATCACTGGACTGGATTGATTCTTCCCTCTCCCAGAAAACAGCATTAAATGCTTTATAAAATATGATCAAAGAAAGCAAGCCACAAATGGACAAATAAGTCTTTGCCAATAGAGAGATTTTAAGGTCAGGAACTTTATCAGTAGCAAAAATGTGAAAGGTACAGTTCTTTCACCTGTTCCTGTGACCGACACATCCTCTGTTGCCCAGCCCTTTAGGAAAAGAAAACTCTAAATGGGAGATACGTGAAAATCCCAGAGGTCTGACAGGACTGTCTGAACTGGACCACTTGGAAGTGATGACATCCTAAAATCCTTTTCCTTGCAGATGGGAAAGTGTTACTGTACTGCCCTCTAATGCTCACAGCCTTGCATTCACTCATGGATGGGGAGGGTTGAGGTTAGTGTTGCTTAAAAAGCAAATCGCTGCTTTTTTGTCTGCTCTCATCGCATAAAATTGGAAAAACAAGGCTTTATGCTAAATTCAGTATCGCTTTTCCTATGCAAGCACACTTGTTATTATGCAGTGAAAGCATGAATTACTGAGTGCTTTGGGGCTGTAATCCAATTTGTGGATATTTCATTTAAAGTGTGCCATGAGTGAATTGTCCCACAGTGATGTATTGATAGGCCCTAGGCTGATACTGTCACTGAGAGGTAAAATAAGACAGCTCAGCACAACTGGAAAAAATAGAGGAATTATTCTTTTACAAAATCATGATAGACGTGTTAGGTTCCTGTACCTTTAAATTTTGAAACACATAGAAATGATGCTCCCTGGTCTATTATATCTTGCAGAACCATTTCACAGGATCACTTAATCTTTTTCAGGAGCTTTCCTACCCTGAGTTTCTTATTGTTCTGCCTCTGCATCACCTAAAACCCTGTCAAAACTTAAAACCGCTATCCTAATCCAAGATTGACTGCCTGAGCTTTGTGCTTTCATACATCCTGTTTTGCACTTAAATAGCAGAGCCCCATCTTCTTCCTTGCAAAGAGGTGCAGAAAAGGGGGAGGTGGAAGTGGTCAGATGCTCCAGTTCAAGGCTCAGAATCATTCAGCCCTCTTCTAGCTTCAAAACTTGACCTTGAAGTCTGAAAGCTACAGCAACAGCCACATGATTATTACCAGGATGGGGGCAGGAGGGGGAACAGGAGGGAGGGTAGGGGTGCAAACTGGAAAACATTTCCACAGAAACCCAGTGAGTGTCAGGATCTAAACTAGCTTATCAAGCTGCATAAATATTAATTGTATCGTATAAGACTGTATTCTGCTCCATCTGCAGAGTTTCACTGTAAGAGGTGTCTCTAATAGGGCATGGTGTCTCCAAGCACCTTTTATTAATAATTAAAACACTATATCTCAAATTACCACCCGGTTCATGGAAGATAATGCTGTGTTGGCAGTGTCAGGCAGGGGAGATCCTAGTGCATAATGCCGAGGTGAAGGGGTTAGGTATGCAGCCTTCTTCTTTTCTCTTCATTATTTACATTTCAGTGCTTCTAAAAAGCCATAGGATCGTGCCCTTCTTGTGCTAGACTCCTGTTCCACACCTCTTTTATCCATCTGCAAAATGACAATGCCTTCATTTGTCAAGATTTTTGAGGCCTACAAATGAAAAGCATCATGGATGAGGTGGCCTGAAAAAGGACTTGTATGCCCAAGAGCTTGTTTATTAGAATGTATCAGTGGAGTTGTTAAATGCTAACACCAACAAATTTTGCCTTGACTGTGACCTTAGACTGTCACAGGCAAGCTCTCTCCAGGCACATAGTAAAAGGTGGCTCTGGAAAAATAAAATATGCATTAATAAAAGAAAATATACATTTAGGAATTCCCTTCTGCCAAGGAAGAACAGGAAACAAACACAGCACAGTGATTCATCAGCGCTTCAGCAAGGAGTGCTTAAGGGCACTAGTAAGACTCAAGTGGTGACAGTAGATGAATGTCAGTGCCATGGACTGGTCAGAAAGGTGGAAGGGTGAAGCACACAGAAAGGCATGTGTGACCAGTAAAAAACCCTCCTTCAGGGATCTCAGCCATAGGAAATGAGATCAGAGTAGTAATAAAAGGTAGAAGATGCAATCAATCCAGACCAAAAACCAATATTTTAATTGTGAGTTTCTGCTTTTTTTTTCTATTGGAGGTGAATTTGCACCTGGCAACAGGCGTAAACGTGTGAACAAAGGCAGGTGCATGGCTACTGGTCTGCTATGACAATAGAGTGCAGGGAATGAAGTAGAAATGGCACAGATGGGACTTAGCCCACGCAGTGCAAAAGGGACTCTGGAACAAAGATATCTTAAAGAAATGATGATCCAAGCATTATGGTTAACATGATGTAATCCCTGCTGCACCAACATTACGTGTTTAGCTCTGGGTGTGGGGGTGCTGGAGCGATCAGGACTCTTCTAGAATGTGATACTAGAAAGGATCCATGCTTGGAGTGACTTTTCTCTGGCCACTTGTGATGTCCCTGGATCACTCTCTGTTCTGCTTTTATTTCAAAGTGAGCAAGGCAACTGAATTTGTGAGTACCTGTAGCTTTGTCCGTACTTAAAATATTTACATCAGTGCAAGCAGGAGCTGCATCTAGTTGTGTTTGAAATTCCTTGTGTCAGAAATCTCTTTTTATGTGTGGAATGTTGTAAAAGGATTTCAGAACTGAGCTCCTATTGTTTGCAGAACAATGTCTACCACATTTTTAATTACTATATAGATTTACTTTACACAGGGGCATGGAGGGAATCACTGATGAGAGCTGAAGTTGTCTATTTCAGCTACCTGATTTTTCCAGACATTTAAAGCTACTTGTTCTCATCTGCTCTAGCGATAAGATTACTTCAATTCTAAAAGGAACCTGGGTGCCAAATTTGTTGGCTAACAAATCTGGAAGAAGTAAAATAAATCCTTAAGAAGCAGATGCTGGTGAGATTGTTTAGAAAAAGGTTTGTTTAGAGCAGACAGTACAACAAGGCAGTCACGTAAATGGAGATTAACCTTTTTATTTCATTTTTAGAAACTATTTTAGCACTCATTAACTTCTTCACTTCCCTTCTGTGCTCCTTTTGTCATTGTTTTCTAATTCCATTTTTCTGGGATAGTTGGTTCACAGGAGGTTCTTAATATTTTGGCTAGGTGTTGTAATTGTGTGAAAACAAATTAGATAGCTAAGTTGAGGGACAAGAGTATTAAGGGCCATGTCTGAGGTCACATGATAGGTTAATGGCTAATCACAGTTTGAATCCAGGAACTTTTAGTCATTAGACTTTTTCTGCAATTGACTGTGTTATCTCCTGGAACTCTGGAGTGCTACAGTATCACTTAAAAATTGATGTAAGTGTTGCATAGGTGAAAATAAAAAATGTGGTCAGCAGGAAAAAAGTGAGTTATTGGGAATCACTAACAAGTATCCAACACTGGTCACTTCTTAAACAAACAGACTGGACTCTGATGAGATATACTCGATACCCTCAGAACAATTAATCAACTCTCAGAAGTGGCAAGTATCGGTAATACCATCTTACCTATAGATCACTGAATATCCACGGAAGACTCTGTTTGTAATAAAATCTTTCTTCTTTTTGTTTCCTTAGTGGAATATGTTGGCACTTACTGCTCTGCTGGGAATGTTATGTGGGAGAAATTCTGGAAGAAGGCAAAGTACTGCTCTCCTTTACCTGTCTCCTTCCAATTAAACCTCCATGGATTTATGTCTTAATAAAATGGTAGTTATACTTTTTTTTTTTTCAATTCATCTTGCTGTTAAAAACCACTACTCTGAACATAATAGGCACTGTCTGCCATTGCTTAAATTAGGTATAAACATTTATTGCCTCCTTGGTTAACAAATGCAACCTTGCTATTCATAGGATTGAGGAAAATTCCACTCAAGGTCAAGGGACCTGAAGTTTTCAGGTAGCCTCATTACCCACATTAGCACTGTAGAAGATGAGGCAGAACATCTGGTAGTGCCATAAAAAAGATAGAAATGTATGTATGTTTGCTTTATCTCTTCATGTCAACATTGAGCCTGTGCTCCCATTTCGGGTCAATGCTCTGAAAAACTGCTAGAGTCTCAGTGTTTAAGATTAAGCTCAAAAGATTTCTTGGTCTCTGCAATTCTCTATGTCTGAAAAAAACCTGAAATTGTCATCTTTTGCTGCTTGCAAAGGATCTTTTGCAGTTGCATCATATTTCAGGCAGAGATGGCTTAGCCAATCTGATATGGATTTTGTCTCATTCATCTGACTCCTGCAAGGTGGTTCTTTGTTGGAGAGCTATTGGCAATCCTCTGTCATCATGAAGTTTGCTTACCATAACAAAAATGAGTTACAAATTGGAAGAAGAGAGGGTGGCTTCACAGCATGACAATTTCTGTGCTCCTTTTTTTCTGCCCTCTAATGAGTTTCTGCCTCAGTGGCTTTGTAGTATGCCTTTAAGATTCTTCAGAGAGTGTGGAAGGGCAGCAACATCTCACCAGTTGCTGCAGGAACAACCCTCCTTAGCTCATTTGAGGTGCACAAGTGGAATTTACAGAGCCCCTTGTGTTTTTTTGTCCAACTCCCACCCTCGTAAGAGTAGTTCTGGATCTGTTTTGCATCTGTAGGTTATGAGCACACACTGACAGCTGAAAGACATTGCTTTCTGGCTTTGCATTCCTCCTGAAGTCTGTCACATCGGAGATGCGGAAGGAGGGAAGTGCAAGATCTGGCTCTACAACTCCTAGTCATATGGAAATGCTGCTTAGAGTATCTTCGTATGGAACTTAGAAGAGCTTCCCCTCCCTTAGAGGCAGGGGAGCACTGCAGAAGACTGAAAAGCTGGCTGAAATGTACATGTACAGCATGGCCATCTAGACAGTGCTTTGTATCCCATTAGCACTCCTGTTCATTTCAGTACACTGAAAATGTCTCTTCAGCATTCAGGAACTCCTCAGCAGGCACTATGGTCATCAAAAGCTGGACCTTTTGTGATCAAAAGGTCCCAGAAACTTACTCGCTCCCTGAAGAACCAGAAATAAGGCAATGAGAACAGAAAGTTATCTACCAAAGGGTTGCTGCGGATCTGTGATGTAAAAGGCAGCCAGGAAAAAGGGAAGTGTCAGACATGGAACTGGTCCTCTCCCACTCCGACTCATTCCTAACTGACCTGTACATTTTCAGCTAAAGCGTAGAAGCAACAAGATCGTCCTCCACTGAACATATTTCAACCTCAGTCATCACATTGCTGTGACCAGGGATAATAAGCACAAGCTGTACATACTTCTGGTGACTGGTTGGAAACTGCTGCAGACAGGAGCATAGGAACTGTACCCAGTGATTAACAGTGGGCAATGCTGCCTTTTCCAAGGTGGCCTTAGTGGAGTTCCATGCAGAGATGTGAAACCAAGATAATCTAAACCCACAATTTTGCTCCATATGGTGTATTGCCTTAGCACACTTCCTTGCCTGTATTTTAAAGTGCTTCAATTCAGAGTAATTTAAAACCTCATCAGTACTCACTAGAGGGTTGGGGTTTAGAACCTCAGTCAATTAAGTCCATGTGGATGAGTAATAGGAGTAAAAATCACAGTTTTCTGTGTAGAAAAAGAAAGAAAAAAAAAGAAGAAGAAAAAAGGTTCTATAGCCTAGCTATTCAAAAGCAATTATATTTTTAGTTACATGGAGAGACATTTTCAGACTTCTAATTGCTCCAAATCTATCTGCTAAAGAGTCATTACATTCCATTTTAACCCCTCTCTGACACCAGGAACTAATGCTGTAATTGAACTGTGTCACCAGTGATCTCAGTTCAAAATCATTAGTGGAGTTGTTCTTTTTCATATTTGCTCTAATATTACTGCTCATTGCTTACAGGCTTGGGGCCAGATTTGCTGCCAGCATATGTGGGTACAATGCCACTGAGATGGGTACTGTTGTGTCCAATTAGGCCTGTGATGAGGCTGGCCCCATGTGCCTTCATTAACCAATATATTCCCATTACAGACTGTGATCTGTTCACCCAACAACATCCTCTTAAACATGTGACGATGCAGTAGAGTAAAACTCAGTGAGGTCACACTTTTGAATTCTCCCCATTATTTTATTTTTTTTTATATATCCAAACCCCATCTTTGGGCAATTTCATATCCACACATGATTCTGATTTTGCATGTAGACAATAAAGGAACAATATTTGTAATAACTTAGGTTGCAGTGTGCTCTCTGATTACTGTATGTGTGTATGTAAAGTACCCTAGGTTTATGTCCTTTCTGTCCACAACCTTATTTGAAGAATGAAAGAAATTGAATCAGAATGTCATGGTAAACATGTTAATAAGGTTACATGCAGCTTATGTATTAAAGTACAGGTTTCATTGTACTTATGAAAAAGAAACATTAAAGGTCAGGGATATTGCTAAATGCAGGCTTAGAAGGCGATATTTAACCACAAACAGTATGACAGTTATTGGCAACTGATAATGTGAGTCCTATAGCACATAGAATTAAGATTCTACCCACATTTCTAGTTTGAACTCTGTCATAAAAATATGCTCTCTACTATTATCTGGAACACAGATTTTAGCGCAGCAGTGCTTTTTGTTTGTTTTGGTTTTAATTCCAGAAAATCATTCAGCCATTTTATATCTGAGAAAGGCAAAGAGTAAGCTAGAAGTTTCCAAGCCCCCAGTTATGGTCTTACATAACTCATCTGAGCTCAAGATTAATGCTTGCAAATACAATAACTCAATCTCATTCCCATTTTACAGTTTAGAGCTCAGCATTTAGTCAGCAGGTACTGAAGGGGTTTGCTGGTGCCAGTGTCTATCAAACCAGTTGATTCATACCTGTCTTACCACTCTGAGCATGTGTAGACCAGACAGATGTCATTATTTATGACCTACCTCTACCTATATTCCCTGTGATAGAGTGTACACCATTTGGCAGTGTTAGCACATACTGCAAAGCTCTTCTCAGTATAACACTTGTGTGGTTTGAGCACAACCACACAACTAACCTTTGCTGGCTTACATCTGATTAGCTCACAGGACAGGAGAAGCTGGTTTGTGACCATCTGTATGTGGTTGTGCAGATAGCACCCGAGGAGAAACAGTTTTCTGGGCCAAACTGTGGCCCATGACCTGTTGGAAGGGTTACAATGAGATGAGCAATCCCAATTTCCATTTTTACCTGTCTTATGTTGAAACTAGACTCCCTAGGGACAGAAAACTGAGTTTGTATCTGGGCCAAGATCCTGGCTAACTAGGTCACCACCATGACAATGCCACCTGCAGTCAGCTTAGCTCCCAGGGGAAGAGCAAATGCCCTGCAGACACAAACAATGTCGCACATGCTTCCAACGTTGCCCTCAAAGGAAACAGTCCTTCTTTCCCCTGACTGAGGCAGCTGGTAGCTGAACAGCCCTTCCCTCTCGAAGGAGAGAGCATCAGTGCTAGTAGTGGTACAGTGATATGGAGTAGGGAATGGACCCTGGGTAAAACTAACTCAGAAGCAAGGAAAAAAAAATCCAGTTAGATTTAACCTGCTTGGGTTCCTAATCTTATTCCCTTCCAGCTACATCAACACTTACAGCCTCATCCATTAGTAAGATCTGATGCCAGTACAGTGAGGGAGCAAAGCTAAGGACACTACAGGGTAACCTGCTGTAACAGCACTGCTGATGGCAATTCAATGTGTGCAGGGAACTACAGCTCAAAAATTCAGGTGAGATGGTTTGGTAATGACCGGCATCACTCCCTAATCCACTGTGTCTGTTTGAGAACCCAGTTTTTGACTCAAGAGATGACTGATAAACAACAGTGTTAGGCCCAATTGAATTCCCAAACCTTTGGACTGGTACAACAAGTTTCTTTCTTTGACGCCTATTAAGAGGTTTTATGTCCTTATTACACAATTTTATCTAAATTTACATTAGTTTTTTTATTATATTACTACCAAATCAATTATATGATCTTTTTTCAGTATTTACTTAGCATAAGAAAACCTGAAAAATTAACTAAAAATTGAAATGAAAAAAAGTTCCCAGAGCAAAAATGGAATTAAAAGACTATAAAGATTCCATATTTCCAGCTCCTTTCACTTTATGTAGACATTTACCTCAGCTTTTCAAAAATACTCAGTACCACTTTAGCTTAGCACCCCCCAAGCTCAGCACCCACACACATAAACAGCGCTTTTCACGGCAACTGGAGGGCAGCTGTGTGAAATATTCCTAACAGCACTACTCCACAGCAGGTCACAGACCTGCTTTCCCCACATTTACTTCATTCACCCAAAAGATAGCTTCAGTTCAGCCATACTGAATGCATCCAGATCATACAGGAGGCAAGACACTAGTATAAATGACAATTATTCTTATTAGCTGTTGCAAAATAATCATTATCATTACGTTTCCAAAATTAGGTTGCACATTAATGTGGTACCCTTTATATTACACCACACAAGTTTAATCTTCAACTAGTTTTTCTTGCTTCTATGGGATTATTTTATTGCCTTAATGTTCCTCTAATAGACAGTATTTTTTGGCATATGAAATGATGAGTATATATTGTAAACCAATTAGGCTTTATTTAAAAAACAAATTGTCATGGGCTACGGAAAAACATCATAAAGCACTGAGAAATGCTTGAATTTCTTGATAGTTACTGCCATCAGAAACTGTGTTGTTTAGCCAATCTGCTAAACCATTGGAACAGTTTTATTTTTAGATTATACAGCTCCTGTGCTAACATTTTTCCTGCTCTGTAGAACCTATTACCATACCATACACTATCATACCTACCTTCAATTTTAATCAAAAGTTATGTTTATTCACTGATTCTTTCTAAAAGAGCAAGAGACAAAGATATGCATGCCCTCGAACTAATATTATTCTGTAGAAAATTTCACTTTACCTACCATCATATTTTAAAGAGTTAATTTCCATTTTGACTGTGTTTTATTAATAGGCCACTGGAAACTTATAAACACTTCAAGGCTTTTAAGATTGCGTTTTTGCAAAAATGATTAATTATGCAGTGTTATGGATTATGATGCCCTCTTTTCCATGGTTTACAGACTTTTTGCTTGTTTGATGAACACAAGAATATTTTTTCCCTGTGTGTTCTAAAAGAAAGTGTGATTCTTTAAAAAAGACATATTGCAAATTGAAAACTTGCCACTCACACAGTCAGGTTGTCCTGTGGTGTATATCATATGTAACTGCTCTACACTTTCCTAAAGACTAGTTTAGCACTTATGCAAGACCTCAGACTATCAGCCACAGAGACTGTCAAGCTTAAAGTCAGGAAGGACAGTGGTAATCGTCAAAACTGATTTCCCACACAATACAGACTATATACATTCCCTCACTAATTCTTCCAAAGGAGACAATTTTTCTTCCTGGGCCATAAGAACTATTTTATCTCTGAGACAGCAAAGGGACAGTGTCACCTTCTACGGTGTTATTTTTTGCTGAACCAATGTCTGAATAGTTTCTTTACAAAAGTAATTCTTAGATTCTTTATGGACTGCGTGAATGGGAACTGAGTAAATCTTGAATTAGGTATGCCTACTGGAGAATATCAATTTCAGTTCTTAATTAACAAAGACAGCATGTCCCAGCCCTCCTAACACAGACATATCTTTTCCACTGTCTTCCTGAGAATATCACAATGAGTGGATTTATTCCCAGGAGTATTAGTGATTTTGTTCAGTAAATCGACAATGTAGAAAAATTACACTTCTGACTTAGTAGCAAATTCCCACATCAGAAACCTGATCTAACAGGCCTTCTCTACTCCGCTTGGAGGGCAT